ATGCATACTTGTCTTATTATGTCTTGAACCATGAACCCAGTGTACAAAACGGCTGCTATCCAGCTCATCAACCAAGGACAGCCTCCCTTCATAAACGCTTTCATCAAGATACCGTATCTGACTCTGTTGTAAGCGTCTTATAGATCGAGTGACGCTGCAACCGTTTTCTGTCTGTTCTGGAAACCTTCGAATGTATCAAAGGCAACAGTGGCTGCATTTGACCAAGTGTACTTCCCTCGGCTGGTGACTTCCCAATCCTCGTGGAAGGAGACTTCTCTGTTCCAAAAATTCTTGAAGCTTACCCGCCACTATCTTCTCCAGCACTTTACCAAAGGTGTTTTGTAGGGTTATGATCCTAGAGCCGCCGAGTGTTGAATTATTCTTGCCAGGCTTAGGAAGTTGAATTAGGCAGCTGTACATCCACTCTTCTGGGACTGACGCTGTCCTTAAGCTCTGGTTGAAGCAAGCAGTCATCTCCAACAGGCTTGCATTACTCATGTCTTTCATGTGGGAATATCTACCCCGTCAGGCGGAGGTGAAACTTCGAAAGCTGCACCCAATTAGTCGACTCCTACGACATGCTTAATGGGGAATCAGGGAGTCTCTTCTTGTTTCCACCATAATAAGAGCCCGGACCCTGCCCAGGGTATGATGAAGATGACGACGATGACGACGACGATGGTGAAAATGATCGTTGTTGTTGTTGTTATTATTATTATTTTTATTATTATTATTATTTTTACTAAAGGGAGGCTATAACCCCCAGCTCCCAATGTTAGAATTGCCGCGGTTGTCTCGCTTGCCACAAACCGGAAGCTGTAGTAGTAAGCCAAACGTGAAAAAAGAAAGATAAAAATGACGGCAAACTCAGGAAACCGTTGATGATGACTCATGCGTTTGATCTGCTGCATCTGATTACTGATGGCAGCATGATCACAGTCACTTCTAGTCTGCCCTTTTCTGCGTTTATACATTCTCGGGCGTGGTTTATGTCTGCTGTAATGCCGGGCCGTTGTGGACATGTATGTAGCTAAGGTATTGTTTACTTGTGCAGTCTGCTAGCGACGGGGAGGTGCGTTCAGTCTTGTTCAGAGAGATCGAGTGCCGTCGTCTCAGTGAAAGTAAAATATATCACCCATACACTGTTATTTGTCTGTCTGTAAATGGAAGAAAGGGTGATATTGTTGTAGCCATTGTTATATTTAGCAGAATTATGTTTTGTTCAGTCATTGTTACAAGGACAATATATTTAAGTGATGCATAGATGAGTGGTATACATGTAGTTAATAGTATTTATTAGTAAGAGTAGTATTTTGTATAGTAATTAATACAGTACGGTCAAAACAGTTAATACCAGTCACTGTAGAAGGTAAAGAATGTTTTTTGAATATATTTATATAGATTACTGCTACTCTTTGTATAAATGTCGTTCACTGTGAAGTTTGTCAACTGTTTTAATTTCTGTGCTAGTAATAATTAATATCATTTGTAATGATCGTTTCTATTATGATCATTCATTCTGTAACCACACATGACAGCAGGCTACTAGTAACCTATGTATAACAGTATTATATGATTGAATTAGCACCTGGAAATTCACTGGGTGTCACAGGCCTGATTAGTTAGTTAATCGACAGATTATCCTCCTTGCACATTGATAAGTCCATAAGCGCGCGGATCCCATCTTCAGTATCTCCCTCAGCGTGTGGCAACTGATGACACCAGTTCTGTGTTGAATTACTATATTTTTTTTGGCTTCCTGTATAGTGTTCATGTTTGGCGACAGCTCTTTTGACTTGAAGTCCTTGTAGTCTGTTGAGTGTTGCTGATTCAGTGTCATCTCCCGAATAATCTTCTCGTCCTGGCTCCTTGAGTGCACTGAGAATGTCAACCTGGTCCATTGCTTTTCCTGTAACTACCATATCCCTGACAACAAGCCAATTCTTTCATTCATTCTCTCTTACCTCAGAGTGTCCTGGCATAAAAATAAACTATCAGATGAGATTTCCTCAGCGTCTTCAACCATTTTCTTTGAATCCATCGAGTCTCTGTTTTCTTAAGCATGCATGGAAAAAATGCTGTGTAGACCTGATTAGGGAGGATTATCTCACAGCACTCCGGACAGATCCATAGGTGCTCTGATCTTCTCCTCAGTAGCTCCACAGAGTAAAATGACTGATCGCAGCCATTTTGTGTTGATTAATCAGATCCCTTATGCCTTTGGCATTTGGCTGTCCTAGGTTGCACCCCTGTGTCTACCAACCTGGGCAAGGATATTGAGTCCTGCTTGTTACTGTGATCTTCTTCGATATGCATTTCGCATGGCCTTAATGGCCAGTCATGGTGACCACTTTGTCTACCAGATAATCTGCATGCTTATTACCTTAAACATCTGCATAGCCCTACTTATAAATACAGGCGAGTTATTCGTGATGCATCAAATGAGAGAATCCTTCTTGTCTAATAAAGCTGGCTAGAATTTCTTAAGCATATCCAATGACTCACTTAGTATGCAGGCATGTGTGAATCTCTGATAGAAAGTGAAGGCCTTTGTGATGTGTAGAAGATACTCTAAACCCCTCCTGAGGCACCAGGAATCTGTGTGCTAGTTTCCTGGACCCTTCTGCCACACAACTTCTTGGATATTGATCTATTTTGGCTTGAAGCTTGCTGGCAGGGGATTTCGGAGTTAGTGGCCTCCCAGAGATGCAGTGAACTGAAATCCTCTAGCACTCAGGAGCCGTGGTGAAGTGCCTAGATGCTCACTAATGGATTGAAAGGTTGTTGGTTCAGGCTCTGATTAAGTTATCACTTATAACAACACTGGTGCTTGTGTGGAATTTAGTTGAAAAGCTTCACCCAGCTTCAGTTGTCTGACAGTTTATCATTCGGTCGCATTTTAATTATGAATAGAATTATTTTGTTAAGGTTTTGGTTATGCAAGTAGTGAAACCATACATTTAACTCTTTGAGTCCCAGGGGGTTTTGCATCAGAGGCCCAAGGGGAGGTAATATGATTTTGAATTTTAACAAATGCAGCACTTTAAAACAAACCACACAACTGCAGCTGATGTCCAACATACACATATCATACATGAAAATAAACATAAATGAATAAGGATTAATATTAGCATACTGCTACAACAAACAATTATACCATTAGTTAGTATTTAGTAGAAAAAACAGTGACTTAGTTTGGGAGGTGAGTAAATTATGAAAAAGTTTTTTCCACTTACCCAAAAGCTGATCCCAAAATTCTTGATATAGTATATCCAAAATGCATCACAAAGGAAGGTACACCACTTATAAGTTTGCATAGCCAATATTAAAGCAAAATGTGCAATAGTTTTTGTTCCATAGCAATTTTAATAACACTATCATAACACGTCAAAATATATTCTCCAGTGGCACAAACAGTGACTTTTCTAAAAACAATTGAATTCCTTACAGAGAAAAAAACTGTAAAGGCACTGTAAACATGTCAACCTGTTCATAGATATATATCTATGGTTTTAGATGATATGGAGCAAAACACTGACATTTGGACTAGCTGGTGTCGCGTTACGGGTTGCTTCAGCACCACTATTCTCTTGTTTTCCATGGCAGAATTAGCCAGTGTTTTCCTCATAGCAGTAGGTAAATTACGCACACATTCCTCATCAGAACTTGACTCGTCAACGGTTTGGGGACATTCCACGTCGCTTTTATCATTATCCAACTCCACATCACTTTGATCGATCCACTGTTTTATCAAATTTGATGCTTCTAAAGCAGTAAATCGCTTTCCTGGCCGTGAAGACGATGACTGATCGGATATATTGTTTTCAGACAACGTAGTAACGTAGTAGACCACACAAATATAGATTTATAGCCTTAAAAACTCACCAGACACAAACGAATGCACTCCACATGTGTTCACTACACACTTGAGAACCAGAAAGGAAGTTTAAATTAAGCGGTTTCGCGTGTAATTACCGATAAGTGGTAAATTAAAAACCGTCACACGTCAAGCGCCGATTGGGCCGCCAGAAAGTAACCAATTAGCACGTGATGCGTTTCTTGGGACTCAAAAAGTAAGAATTGACTTTTGTCAGATTTTCAGGTCATTATCAGATAACTCTTTACCAGATTTTCTGGTCTTTTCAGAAGAATGCATATCTTTGGTCTGGCCAGACAGGACAGTCACTCTGAGGGAAATGGATGTGCCAGTTTCAACATAGCAACCGAAGCCAAACAGCAGTGCTTTTAAAATGTGGAGTTTATAGTATCTTGTGCCTACGTAAATATACTACAAGGGAATAGTTTGGAAAGAAGCTTGAACAGAAAAAAAAAGAAAAACACTATAGAACCGGCAGCATACAGAGTATAGTCTAAGTGTGCATCTGTTTTGTCAGTGGTAGCCTTTTGTTCCTAAATTATAATATTTATCTCAGCTCTTTTTGTCCTAAGTAACTCATAATGTGTGAACAGGCATTCTTCATGTTATCAATCAATATAAAATATGTTAAGGTATCTTTTACATTTGATCTCAGCATACTAATGAAAGGCTATAATTTATTTTGATAAGAAGCACAGTGTATAATACACCGTGAAAAGTAATTAGCTAATTTCTTCATTGTAGGTATTGCCTCCAATGGGCAACTGCTGTTAAATTTAGCGAGATAGTAGGAGTCACAGGAGCTTAAGGTCAACACTGACCAAGAGAACACTGATCAATAGTTATGAGAGCTGAGAGAGAATAAGATAACATTGTTAAAGAGTTATGAGAGCTTAGGGAAAAACATAACACTGACCAAGAGTGATGAGAGTTTAGGGAAAGCAGGACAACACTGCTCAATAGTTATGAGAGCTTAGCGAAAAAAGGATAACATCAATATAAAGCTATAAGAGCTTAAGAAAGAAAGGATAACACTGTACAAAACATTGTTATTGGTGATCTAAAAGCATGCAGTGCTGCATACACAATTTCTAAACGGGTAGTATGACTTCATGACAGCAGAATGGAACGTACAATACTTCAGTGCAGCGAGCACCAGACTGAACTGCTTGGGGAGTTGAAGGCAATGTTTGAGGCAGGTGCCCTAGTGGATGTGACCATGTGTATCCAAGAGTGCCGCATCCCCTGCCACAGGGCTGTTCTAGCCGCAGCAAGTCCCTACTTCCGAGCCATGTTCACATCAAATCTACATGAATCCAGGCAGCAAGAGGTAAGGATACAGTTTCTTCTCTCTCTGTCTCTCTGTCTGTCTGGCTCTCTCTCTCTGTCCCCCCCCTCTCTCTCTGTCCCCTCTCTCTCTCTCTCTCTCTCTCTCTCTCTCTCTCTCTCTCTCTCTGTGTCTCCCTCCTTCTCTCCTCTCTCTCTCTCTCTCTCTCTCTCTCTCTCTCTCTCCTGCCTTTCATCTCCTAATTCCCAATGTGGGTTCTGGGGCCCCAGTGTGGGGGATAACCAGAACAGACCCTCTGCCTCCTAAGCAAGCATGCCAAAGGAGTCGACTAATTGGGGGCATACGATGAAATCAAAGTGCATCTGCCTGAGCGGAGGGGAACCAACAGTCTGCATACAAACATGCCAGATATGTTAAATGAATGTGCATGCAACACTCACCTTCTGTCTGGAGTTAGATGAACACCCAGAACTTTCCGCTGGAGTTCACAGCCGGTAAAGATCTCTGACTGAAGTTTTGACCCACAACAAATTCACCTCAAGGCCTTGTAAACTTGTTAGTGTCCCTTTAGGCCAGTGAATGATAACAAAATTGGACAGTGAACCCATAGGAAATTCCTGTAAAAAAATCTTTAAAAAAAAAAGAGGTTTATTTATGTACACTTAAATACCAACTGACACCGTTATTAAGACATCCAAACACAAGTATGAGCAACAAGAGACAAATTATAACCAGTATATTCATACCAGCACTGTGCTACCAGTGCCAAGCTTGGACATCAAAGGCTGACAAATGTCAAATTAACACCTGTGAAATGAGATGCCTGAGAAAGCTGCCATCTGAACCATCCAAGACAGAGTTAGAAATGATATCACAGATTGTGGGAACAACACCATGCAGCAAATGCATTGAGAAATAGAAGATCAGATGGTTTGGTCATCTAGTGAAAATGCAGCCAGAGAAACTGCCAAAGCAGGCATTATACATAAAAAGATCTAAAGTGAAAGCAAAAGGTCACCCTAGGAGAATATGGATGGATGACAACAGCCATTGCTGCCCATCAAGCAATGAATCACAAACTGTTCCTCCCCACAACGCTCAGTGGCAGGGGCATGATGATGATGATGATGATGATGATAAACAATAATATAGATCCCCTGCTCCATAACAGGTTTGAGGTGAGACATTAAGAACATGCCAGAATCAGATGTTTTGTGCTGAAAGGTGCAGATATCCTGCTTTTTAACTATTTGGATACCAAGGTACTCACCTTATGTTCATTTAGTCTAAATGAAGTCTACTTTTTTTGCCCCCCCCCCCCCCCCCCCCTCCTCCATCACTGCCAATTACAATCAGAATTGTAAGCTACATCATTATCATCATCGAGTGCCTTGCCGACTGGCATGGGCGATCATGCCTCTCCATAATCTGCGATCTGCAACTGCTTGTATCAGCTTATCTGTTGAACCCACAACCTCCCGATCTATAGGCGAGTGTCTAGCTGCTACACAATGGCAGCTTCTCTTTATCGAAAGAGAAGAAATTATATACTTTTATGGAGGGAATTGTGGCCACATGTACAGAGAGAAGAAGAGGAATTTACAGTTGTCATTGCTTCACATGGAATTTGTTGTTCTTGTTGTTAGGTGTTTTTTTTAAATAAAAATTATTCTGTAATATGCTGCAAGGATTTTTATCATGGTATGGGGTGCGCAGGTCAACCCGGCCTAAAATGGGTACCAGGATGGCTGTCCTGGGAAGTATAGACGGGCAATGTAATGCTGACCACATTACTCAGTGCCGATTGGTCTGTAAAAATATGGGAAGCTCTACCCATATGCCTGATGCGCCTAAAGGCGTGAAAAGGGATCTTCCCTTTACTTTATTCTGTAATGTTTCCTTTGCTGTTTTCTTCTAATCCAATATAGGTTTGGCTTAGGGAGACAGACCCTGATGCTGTCAGCCTTATCATCGGATATGCATATTCTGGGAGATTAGAGATTACTTCGGCCAATGCCCAGAGCCTTCTCACTACAGCTTCCTTATTACAGATGTCCACGGTTCAGAAAGCATGCGCAAAGTTTATGGAGACCCAGCTCGATGAAGCTAACTGCATCGGCATTCAGAACTTTGCTTCTATTCACAGTTGTGAAGAGCTTTTTGGCAAGGCCAGGGAGTTTATAGAAAAGAACTTCACATTGGTGTGCAAAACAGAGGAGTTTCTAGAGCTGCCCTTAGATCGAGTAGTGGATATTGTATCGTCGGATGAGCTTAACGTGGAAAAGGAGGAGATTGTGTATGAATCTATTATGACCTGGGTAAACCATGATTTTAAAAACCGTAGGCAGCATCTGGGGGAGCTAATGCTACATTTGAGGTTCCCTTTAGTGGATGTGAAATTTCTGCAAGAAGTTGTCTATCCAAATGCTGTGCTAATGGAGAGTGAGAAAGGGAGAGTGCTAATCCGCAACATCCGGATGTTTCTGGAGAATCCGGAGAAGGTTTATAGTGCTAGCAGTACAAAGGATGCCTTTCCCTTGCGGTCAGGCATGATTCAGCCTGAGCACTGCATTCTCTTAGTTGGCGGAATAGATCAGAACAAGCCGTCATCGATAAATTGTTACAACCCAATGACCAGAGAAGCTTTCTTTATGGCTACATTCCCAGAAAGTGAAGACAAGGCCAGGTACTATTGTGTTGAAGATCCTGCTGTGATTGTGACGGATGACAACGCTGTTTATGCAGCTGGTGGAAACTATATATATCATGCCAATTATGCAGAATCACCGGCCGATGAGGATACGGTTTCTTTTGATGACTTTGAAGATGAAGAGTCTGTTAGAAAAGACGTCTTTTTATATGATAATGACCACAACAAATGGGTACAGAAGGCCCCAATGTTATTCCCAAAATCAAATTTTACTTTGGCCTTTTTGGACAAAAAAATATACAGCTTTGGTGGTGTCACTTTAAATCAGCATCCTACAGAGATAGTTGAATGCTACGATATAGAAAAGAACCAGTGGAATTATGTTGGTATGATGCCGACAACTCTAGTTGACCTTAGTTCTGTTGTTTTCCGCGGAGAAGTGTATTTATTAGGTGGCCGGACAGGAGTGGGAGCGCACAATGTCGTCATGAAGTTTGATCCGCAGAAAGGTGAGTGGACTTCTCTCGCCGGAATGCCAACTCCTCGGTTCAACTTTGGTGCTACGGTTATTGACAATGAAATTTTGGTCGCCGGAGGGCAGATATATTCGCATTCCACCAACACCATCCGCCGCGACGCCTTGCGGTCGTGTGAGATTTACAACGTGGAGGCTAACCAGTGGCGACAGGGTCCCGAACTGACAGAGGAGATGTACAACGTGGGGCTCTTACATGTCAACGGGTGCATTTACGCAATGGGTACATCCGAATACCAGAAGTCCCCATTTCGAATCTGTCGCTATAATGTAGTGTGTCGTCTGGACATGTACAGAAAAAAATGGATACAGGTTGAATCCGACCTTTGTGATATCCGGAACTACTCTTCAGTAGCAGCTAAGCTTTACACCAGAAAGTTATCTCAAGTGTTCCGCCCAGAAGTAGACACTTGATTGCAACAAAAAGTGCCCTCTATCGCCTTGGAAGAATAGATAATCTCATTCCTTTTGACCAATTTAAAACAAATGGATGTAGCTGTTGGTTTTATTGTGAATTAATTTCTTGAAATTATGGCTTCTTTACTGTTAATTTTTAATACTTAATTTTCTTATCGTTTTTTTTAATGTACGGCTTCTAATTGCAAAGCCATTTCTTGATATATTGCTTCATAGTAATAGCTTGAACAGTCTAATATCCTGAGGAAGTGAAATGCTTGTTTTGTCCTAACCTGTAATAATTACTTTCTCTATTTGATGAGGCAAAGATACTATAGTGATATTAATTTAGTGGCTGGTATGCTTACCTCTCAAGACAACGGTCTGGGTTGAAACCCCCCAGCAGAGTCGAGATTATTATTTTGACTCTGTTGAGCTCTGACAAGACCAAGCTTTATAAAAATGGCTACCAGAGAGATTTTCAGAATAAATAAGCGACCACCTGCTCTGGATTGCATGTTACTCTGTAATTGTTCAACTGTGCTTCATTGCTATATTGTTGCACAAGGTATCCAGGATTGGTAGCTGTTTGATAAGTTGAACAGGGCATCCGGGATTGGTAGCTGTTTGATACGGTTGAACCCGGTATCCGGGATATGTAGCTGTTTGATATGGTTGAACAGGGTATCCGGGATTGGTAGCTGTTTGATATGGTTGAACAGGGTATCCGGGATTGGTAGCTGTTTGATACGGTTGAACAGGGTATCCGGGATTGGTAGCTGTTTGATACGGTTGAACAGGGTATCCAGGATTGGTAGCTGTTTAATACGGTTGAACAGGGTATCCAGGATTTGTACCTGTTTGATACGGTTGAACAGGGTATCCAGGATTTGTACCTGTTTGATTCTCAACCTTGAGATGTTGAGCCTGCAGACTAAAAATCTGGAGCTGGAGGGAACCTCTTGAAATATTTTTTTATTTTTTTTTATTCAGAATGTTCTGTGATAAGTTTGGGGAGGAAAAGCAGCAAGAAAGGGCAATGATCACCACATCTCAGGTGTCGTAGCCTAGAATATTTGATGACCTAAGATTTTACACTCTGACTGCAGTGTATGTTAACCCTTTTGCTCCAAGAAGCAACAAAACCAACTCCTTGATTGGTATAATTTCTCCATAAAAGTTGCTTTCCTGACTTGCTGTAGGGACAAGATATATGTCTAGCTAACCGGAATTCACTGCATCTGTGCAAATGTCAATGTCAGTAAATCAGAGTTAAAACTTTAAGGGCATGCATCTTCCCTGTAGCAATATATGGATGTGAGTTGTGGACTATCTCTCAGTCCTTAAGAAAGAAAATAGGGGCTTTTGAGCTGAAATGCTATAGAAAAGAGAAGAAATACTGACATCTTGAAAGATCTGAACATAAAGGAAGATTGGCTAATAAACAGCATCTTGTCTTGGAAGCTGAAATATTCATATCAGGCAGCATGGAAGATTTGGAAAACAAAAATATAGCAGAAGGCATGGTACCGGGAAGGAGGGGCAGGGGTTGACCAATACCATGATTGGCACAGGATATAAGTGACTCATTGAACATGAAAGTACACAAAGACCGGAGAGCTGCAGAGAGATTGAGCTTCTTTCAGGCAAACCATGATGAGAGCGACATTCTGTAAAAAACCTGGTAAGTGATGATATGTGCAAATGTTCAGCAAGACGGGAAGTGATTAACATTACTAAAAATAAATTAAAGGGGATTTGTTTAAAAGAAAATGGCATTATGTTTGGAAATTTCATATTTTTCTCATTGGCTACAGTGGTCACTTGGCAACCAGGTCACAGGGTCAAGTAATTAGGACACTATAATTAGTTTACAGGCTCCAGGTTGGTTCTGTGATGCATTTGTTTTTATTTATTCCCCCCCCCCCCCCCCTCTCTTTCTAACGAGGTATTTGTTTTTGTTTTGGATGAAAGATTAATTTTATGTGATATTTTTTTGTAACATGTAAAATTGTTGTTTTTCTAAGAATTCTTTTCAAGAATCTCCAAAAATTAAAGCATAGGAGCTTGGCTGTGTCTTTTTCCTAGGGCTCCAGGGTAAAAGGGTTAAATGAGACCAAAGAATGAACAAAGGCAGGGGGGCATTGTTTTGCTTCAGCAAATGGTGACAGACTGGCGTAGGCCATCATGCTTTTCCATATCTTGCTATTCTAGTTTCATGTTATCATCATCAAGTGCCTTGCTAGCTGGTACAGGCGATCATGCCACTCCGTAATCTGCAGTCTCCAACAGCTTGTCATTCTAACCACAGATCTTTCCAGTAGTCACCGTATGCTCCCTTTCCTCTCCTTTCGATGTTTGAATGTATGGAATAGGTTGTCGTCAGGCCCATGCCTCTTTGAAAACATCTATGCTGCTCAATTTCTTATTCTTCTTTTGCCTTATTAAAAAACTACAAACATAATGTTGGGATTACATTTACTTAATTATAACCGCAGAGTAAAACCATTCTTTAATCATCCGAATACTTTTTCTGCTCCAGTATGTCTTGTTTCCCACAATCCCAATGTGTTTAGATTCATTCTTTTCATTTCACTCTTGATTTTTTTGTTTTCCAGTTTACCTACTTGCCAGAGTGTTCTCACAATCCACATTGCAAAAGCTAATGTCTCATTCTTTGGTTTGCATACACCAGCCAGAAGGTGGACTGGTTGGACCTGTAGCACATGCAGGTTCATTCTGGATGTGCAGAATCTGCAGTGCAGGTTCATCCTACTGGGCGAAGCAGTTCTTGAACTCTGTACACAAAATTGATGAGATGGAAGGTGTGGTTAGACATGACTAACAATGCCACATGGCATGCACTACAAGAGTAACTGAATGGAATTGAATAAGCTAGAGTTGTTAGTTGTGCTTGAATTGTTCTTTTTTGGGGGGGGGGGGGGGGGGGGGGGGGGGGGGGTGTCATTATTTAGTGTAGTTGAAGTGTTACTGTGAAACAGTGTGATATTATTTTAGTGTTAATTTTTTGTGATTTGGCCGAAATGGTAAAATAACCTACAGGTTTCACAGTTGAAAACCCCCCTCCCCACTCCACTCAAGTAGGGGTTGTTGGGCCCCTTTTTTGGGGAAAAAGAATAGACTTACCCTCTCTAACAAGCATGACATTAAAGGTCACTAAGTCAGAATGCCTCTGCCTGACAGATTAGGAACCAATAGTCTGCATAGAAATAAACCAAATCTGTGAAATGGATGCGCAGCAAAATTCAAGTCCTGGAACACAGCCAAAGTCTAGAAGTGGATGAACAACCAAGATTTTCCACCAAAGTTTACAGCAACTGAATGCAGACAGACAAACAATTGAGAGCATATCCTAAGAGTCACAATGACTAATAATACTTTTGCTTACATTACTAATTTTATAGGGAGGTAATCAAAAGGAAGGGTTCAAGCACAGGAGATGTGCCTGCCAGCTCTTAGAAATTATTTATATATGTTAGATTGTTTTATGTGTATCCAGACAGAGCCTTGACGACTCCAGCCAAAAACTGATAGCGGCTGACCGCCAATGCTTTGAAACATTATTTATTACTAGCTATGTTTTGCTGATGAAAATTCCCAATTTCTGGACTGAGAGTATAAAGGTTCCATCGCCCAGTTACTGAGTTGAATGCTTGGTGCAACACTGTGAGCTGTGGATTTTGTGTGGATTTTTTTTTATAGTAGTGTGCCTGCGGCCTGTTGTTGACTGCACCAAAGTGGGGCAGGTGGGCGATTACGTTCAGAGTGGGGTGTACTTTTGCAGGTGCAATGCTAACTTTAATGCTGACCATTTGTGCAAAAAGTTAGCTGCAGTTCTTGTGTCCGGCAATTAATGGTGGCACATCTAACAGCTCTTATACATTTTTATTTTGCATGTGCAAGCTTCAAGTTTGTCACTATTTTTCAGATGGGACAGTGGGGGGGATATTGGATGTGTTTTCCACCGGCACAGGAACGGAACAAGTTTGGGGGCAACCCCTCTGCAGTGAAGTTGAAACCTCAACTAAGATAAGCTGTGATCAAGGTTCCTCAACCAGGTGATGAGAGACAAAGCCCTAACTAATGTTTCTCCACTAAAGGGGTTTATGGTACATAGACCCTCAAATAAGTTCACACCAAGTCTATTTAAGTGTAGTTAAATCGTGTGCCTTGTGCTCTGAAGGTCGTGGGTTCATTTCACGGCGCCACCGCTCAGTTCACGAGTGCAGTTTTTACGGAGATCCCTAGGGGATCATCACTGGAGCTGTTGAGGTGGCGCTATTTGCAATGCTCTCGGCAGGTAGCTAGCCATGAGGGATAAGACCCGGTGCCATGAAGTCGATCTTCTCACCTCTACCTTTGTTTAGTCTTGTTCATAGTGTGATTACCTCTGCAAATGAAACTTTTCATGAGACTGGGTGAAGTAACCTGTTGGAGTAGTTTTCATGGCAAAATTGTCTTTATAGAGAGGCAGTTGGTCTGTTCTTTCCCCCTCCCCCTTTATACAGAGACAGTGGGCCTGTTCTCCCCCTCCCCTTTATAGAGAGGCAGTGGGTCTGTTCTCCCCTCCCCCTTTATAGAGAGGCAGGGGGTCTGTTCTCCCTTCTTCATAGAGAGGCAGTTGGTCTGTTCTCCTCCCTTTATAGAGGCAGTTGGTATGTTCTCCTCCCCCTTTATAGAGAGGCAGTGGGTCTGTTCTCCCCCTCCCCCTTTATAGAGAGGCAGTATGTCTGTTCTTCCTCCTTTATAGAGAGGCAGTTGGTCTGTTCTCCTCGATTTATAGAGAGGCAGTTGGTCTGTTCTCCTCCCCCTTTATAGAGAGGCAGTGGGTTTGTTCTCCCCCCTTAAGGAGAGGCAGTGGGTCTGTTCTTCCCCCTCCCCTTTATGGAGAGGCAGTGGGTCTGTTCTCCCCTCCCCCTTTATAGAGAGATAATAGGTCTGTTCTTCCCCCCCCCACTCCCCTTTATAGAGAGACAGTGGGTCCGTTCTTCCCCCTT